TTTGGAGGCTGCTGTGTTGTAGTCATTTCTCCATGGTGGAGAACAGTCTTTGTGGTGGAAGTCTTACCTGCTGGAACTGCAGAGTGTGAGTTCTCCTCTTCCCTGTGCATGATTAAAATTATTTTTACTGAGCCAGAGTACCCTTGAGTGCTACAGGTTTCTTTTGAGTCGATAACTTTCATGGTTCCCAGGTATCTGTGAAATATGTCCCTGTTAAATCAAATGTATTGATAAACTATCCCAGTTCTGGATACCTGTGCAATGTATTCCTTCACACAAAGAAATTCTAGAAAGCCTACATTAACTTTTTGAAGCATACCCTCTGGGAGAGCCTATTGAAAAGCATCAGTTTCTTCTGTTCAGACCATTGTGCAAACCTACCGAAAATGTTATAAGGCTTATAACTGATAAGAGCCAATGGGATTCAAGAAGGTGCACATTGAATTGCAGTTCTTTCCAAGAATGTCATCTTAGGACAAAGAAGCAAATATCTTAGTTAGTGCACCCATTTTCAGATTTGCCCCAAATACCTCCTCTCGAATTGAGTGGTAAATTCTTTCTTTGACAAACATATCTATTATAGATACAGTGTCTGCTCTAACTATGAGAGGAAGTGTGTGTCCAAGGGGTTTGTGAGCTTGGCTTTAGAATTAATTTGAAATTAAAAGAAAGCTAATTAAAATCTTTCTTTTATAGTTATGTTTTGAATTGATTCTGTAATTCCTTTGAGGCTAGGCATGAGTGAATATAAAGTTCAGACAGGAGGCACACTGGTCTTTTATTCCCAGGCACAGATATTGAAAAGGGAGCATAATGTAGATGGGAATGGCTGAAGTGAGCTACGCATCATAGTGATGAGGTATGCCTTTTCCTTGGGAGTCTTTTTTGTCCTAGAGGGCAAAGTAATCTGGTGATTACACAATAATGTCATCTCTGACATAGGATTATTTTTAGCTCTTGTGATCCTGTTCATCTTTTTTTTTTTTTTTTTTTACTTTTTACCTATGCATGCAGCACAGTCGACCCGTGTTTTCCATCCCAGAGTATTATACTCATTTGCTTTTAACATATGGCAATCTGGGTTTCTTTAAAGAGAAGTCTATGCTGATAGAATCTCAGGACAGCATATATCTGTCAGTTGTATCAGTTCCTCTTACTATAGTACAGTGCATAGAGCAAATACAGAAGTAGTACATTTTTCCTCGAAGCCTGTAGAAAAAAATATTTCCAGGATCTTTGATTTCTGTAGTTCTCCCACCTAATATCTCCTCCACAGTTTTGATTATTGCATTGTGATAGGCTGCTTAGAAAAACCCAAGACAGATAAGATAGATTTAATTTCTAACCCTGACATCTCTGCCACCCATTCATTACTCTCTTTTACATTTCTTGCTATGCCCTGTGAAAGCAAATGTGCCAGTTACATCTGCAGTTTCTATCTGAGGGGGGAAAACAGTCGTATGTTAACATCAGATTTTTTAAAAAGTGGGGTAAATTGTGTACAGTTTAAAATCTCCTTGCTTCAGGTGAATAATCAGCCTTGTCAGTAAGTGCAGGCAAGTGGTGTCTGTTCCTTGTGCTGTTGTTTGTTTTAAACACGTATTTCATAACCATTGTGTGAAAAGGCATCCTTCGCCTCTTTGGCTTAGGGAATGTTTGCAATCGAGCAACATTTGTTTTATACTGTAAAAACTGTGTGTCCCTGCACTTTTGCACCACTCTTAAATCTCCACAGTGACTCTCAGTGGGTAACTTACAAATGTACAAGAATGTTCAAAACACATTTTGAAGGAAGAAGAGAATGAAAGAGGAGGGGGGGAGAAAAGAGAAGAGAAAGAGCAACTCATCTAAAGTTACACCATCATCTTTAACAGCTGTGTGCATATTAAAGGAAGTAATGGGGGAGTGAAGGTACTGCATATTTCAAAGCTGAACTGTTGCAGCAACAATAAGAAAGGGGGGATGTTGTACAGAGTTAGCCAAGTGTTTGAAGTACATTACCGTAAGCCAAACCAATGAAGTGGACAAGATTTCTAGCATGCTGCAGTGGTGCCTCTGCGTACTTAATAACAGATGTTTGGTCTCTCTAGGCAGATAATTGTCCTGCTGTAAGGTTGGCTTGACCTGTGTGAGCAATACTGTGTACAGCACTGAAGCAGTAACAAATGATCATAGCTTTTCTCTTTTTACTGGTAGAATGCTTAGCCACGCTTCCTTTTAAGCACATAATTACTCCAAAGCAACTGGAGCCCATACATCCTCCTTGCCTAATGGCTCTGAAGCCATTTTGCTATAATTTATGGGGACAGGGTTCAAAGTTTTAATAATATTTGGATAATATCATTGCCAAAATGTCTTTGAGCTGTGATGAATAGAATGAGAGTGGGCACATTTTGATTCTGTGCATGACAGTGCGAGTGTTAACAGCACCATACTTTGTTCAACCTTTATGGAAACATTCACGAGCCAATTTGCTCATGAATTGTAGATATGAGCATGAAGAATTATAAACAGCAGTGGAAAACATACAGGGTTGCTTGTTCATAAGGCACTGTCCTGTTAGTGGCTCTTCTTTATGCAGATAAATGAATTGCAGAGAATACAAAAATGGTTTAAATAAACCCTTAGCAGATAATGTATTAGCACATCAACATAAAATACGCATGCACTGTGGCATGCTTTTGGATATTTATGTTTATACTCTCTGCTCAAGTGGCTCACTGATTTTTTGGCTTCCTATCATTCACCTAATAACTTCAGCATCCTAACTGCACCTCTGGGTATGTTTATCTGACAATCCAAGCTGTTCTTTGCTTTATGTGGCTTGCTGGAATTGGCTCACCAATTTGCTCTGCGAGTCGCTCCAGTGTATGATAGGTTAATGATGTTAATCAAAGCTAAATAAGAGTAGACATGATCCTTTCATTGAAGCCATAGACCAGCCCAGACCAGAAGGTGCATTGATGGAGCAAACAAGCCTGTTGGATAGGTAGCAGGAGATCACAAAAATAACATCAAAATAATGTGTCCCTGAAGCTAATGTACACCTAGAGATTCATCCAAAGCCTACTGAAGTTTGTAGGAGTCTCTACTGATTTCAATAAGGTTTAGACCAGATGCATAAAATTCTGCATACTTTGGCTAAGAATATTATTTTTCCAGTTTGCTTCATAGGATACAAAACTTAGTGTGAACAAACTGTGGCTAAATTCTGTGGCTGATTCATTAGTGAGAGGTTAAGGATTTGTTAGTCAAAGAGCACAAGTATTTTTCATTACAGAAATGATATAAAAATACTGACTTCTCCAGGCACGACAGCTGCTCTCAATGATGAAAGAAAATACAAATATGAACAAGAATTGTTGTAAATGTTCCCAACAGTGATGGTAGCTAGAAAAAATTTAATAAATACTCTCTGTAATTCCATTCAATGATATTCAAGCAATGCTTCATTTAATCAAAGGGGCATTTGATTACAGAAATAATCAGCTGACACAGTCCCAGTTCACTCTGGCCACTAAGAATGCATGTAGATAGCTAGATGTAACATATGTGAGGGTTGGCAATTATTTCTGAAAAACCGTTAGTATGGCCTTAATTACAATGGTCTGATTTTGTATTTGATAGCCTTACTTTAAAATTGTAATGCTTATTATGAAATTTTAATGTTAATTTCTTAAAGATTCTTTTAAATATAAGCCTTAATTGGCTTGTGTAAATGGGGTGTTTTTTCCTCAATGGGTTGAACAGTGTTCATCAACTAAAATTATTTCTTATGATTATGCTGAGGTCTAAAGTCACCGTGAACTTCCATGTCTGCTAAAAAAAAATAAAATCAAATGAATATGTAGGATTTCATTAATCTTCCAGTCTTCAAAGAATATTATGTAATCATATAAAAATGTGATTGATAACTCCAGTGGTTATCTTAAAATTATACACGGACAATTTGATTTCTGTATTAAACTGTTGACTAAGTCTTTAAAAACAGGTATATTTCTGTATTGGTTTATCACTAGAAGACAAAATACATACTTTATTTTTCCTCCTCCTTATTCTTTTACTCCTTTAACTACAAAGAGAGTCTGGAAACCTTCAGCCTCAGAAGTTAAAAATACTTAATCTCTGCATTTTTCTTAATTGTTTTCTGGAAAAACTATGAGAGACAGAAATGATAAAGGCAGAAGTAGTTTTACATTATGAACAATTCCAACAAGGGGCTGAATATTCAACAACTGATAGGCCAAATAACAAGTTGTTAACTTCACAATGCACAGTCACAGAGTACATATGTGTCACTTTGAGCAAAGATTGAAAAGACTTCAGAATTAGAGATTTAACAGCAAGTTTTGATTAAATCAAAACAATCAGAGTAGTTACATTTGCAATAGAATTAAGTTTAAAAAATCCAGACTCTGCATACTTTGCCAGACCTCACATTTCAAGCTTATTATAGGATAAATTTTTCAGGTGATACCTTTGAAAAATATATATTGCTGAATACTTGAGGACTCTTCTGGCGAATGACAATGCATGTTCAATTGTTTTCCCTCCCATATATGACTTAGAACAGCCAATAGAGTCAGAGAAATGCTAAGTGCTTTGTTGTGGAGAGAATTCCATCGTATTTAAAGTCAGGTCATAGGAAATCCTCATTTTTTACATTGTGGTTGATGGTTATGCTCAACGGACTGAAAAAGGAACACAGATAAAGCAATATTATCCACTTTTATAAACTGAAAAAAAATCAGTTGAAATCAGTAGACACCATCTCTAGATCTGTCTCTTTTTCTCCTTTCATTGGTTCCCATGCAGTTTGTCAGTACTTGCTTTGATCAAAAATAACCACTTCTCACATGCACGACAGACACAGTGATCTGTCCTAGGACAGCATATCCCAAATAGAGGATATGGCAGTGTAGGAGTCTGAAAGCCTCAAAAATTGCATTATGACACAGGAAGAGGATGAGTTTATGCCTAAATGTCATTTCTGTCTGTAGATGGAGAGTGACACTTCCTATGTATTTGCATCCTGGACCAACTGCACTGTAGCTCTCTGGAGAACTGCTGATCACATCTTGTGAATGTCCCAGAGATGCACTTTGATATCACCACATCAAGAGAAATTAACTCCTACATAGGTATGATACCAACCCTTTATTCTTCAATCTGTGTTCCTCTAGCCAGGGAAGGTGCACTCCACACACCACAGAGAGATCTCTTGTGCACACATCAAATAAAAAACCTGAGAGAAGTCAGAGTGCAGAAGTTGTAGTACGTAGGATTACACAAAAGGTCTAACCAATAAATTCAGGAGCTCATGTAACTCAGTATTTATGGACCAAAGTGCTGCCCTACCTGTCTAGAAGACAAGCACATGCTACTATCCCCAGATCCCACAGAGTTCAGGGAAAGCCAGTGAAGAATTCTTGACAACCCCTTAAGTGCTCTGTGGATCACCATATGTGATGATTTCAAGTTCACGAGCAAAGTCTATTCAAAACCTCCATGCCCAAGGAAATTTTGCTTGAAATTTTATGAGAACGGTCATTCTTATAAAATTTGTGAAATATGCCAGTTTTTTATTTCATAGGAAATACACCTAAACACAGCCAAAGGAATGATTCTCAGTGATATCCCTCATTGGGAAAGATCCCAGCATCCCGTGTGTTAGGCTGAAAGTTCTACAGAGTCAAACTTCTCTCCATGCTTAATAGTATTTATGAAATGGCAGTCTAACTTGGCAGTATGGCATGAACATGCTGAAGACTATCTCAAAACAATGATCAAAAAAATGTTCTAGGTGATTTCTTTTTTTTTTTCATTTGTTCCCATTTATCTTTTTTCTTCTTCCCCTGAAAATTGGTGTTATAAAGTTCATGGCAAAAGGAGGATTCCAGAGATTTCCATTGTTTAGTGCTAAATAGATGCTGAACATTTGGAAAGACTACCATGTATTTTTATTTAGCCTTACTTAAAGCTAGGCTGTTGTCCCTGTTTCTAAATGCTGCACCTCTCCAGGTATACTTCTAATTCCTGCTTATCACCTCGTTGTGCAGTGGAATTTGCGGTGACCTGCTTCCTCTAATTGAATGGGAGCTCTATTCGATCGCCCTGTCCTTTAATTTAGCTCTCCCACCTAGAACAATGGGTGATTAACACAAGTCAAAACAAGAGCATAAAGGAAGAAGGCAGCACAACCCGCCTTGGTGCAGCTGCTCGACTCCAGTGTTTGCCTGCTGTGTAGCAGCATGTTACGGTCACTGCCAAGCCTTGATCTTCTCTCTCTGTGTCAGTACTCCAAGGATCCATCCTTTAAGCAGCACAGATCACACAATTATACATTGTTGGAGAACTTCAGTGTCACTTCTAAGGAATACAGATTCTGCAACTTGAATCAAAAGTGAATTAAACAGAAATACACAAACAATGTTTTAAATATTGGTTTGGTTTTTTTTTTTTTTTTTATTCAGACTGCCGCTTCTGTTACCACCAATACTCTTTTTTCCCCCTGAAGTACTTGTCTGGCTATTTGTCAGACACTCCAGTTTTATGGTTTTAGTTTTTTTCGTTTTCATCTCGATGCTTATCCCAGCATAATATCTCATCAAACTGTACCTTCCCCAGATCAGAATATGTTTGAAGTCTCATTTTAAGAGAGTTGTACTTTGATTCTGGAAATTATCCTATTGTTGTCTGCACATAATTCCTAGAAAGTTGTTTTGATGCAGTTCATTTTGGTGCTGACCCAAAGGCATGTAACAGTAATGAAACAAAACTCTTAAATTACTTTGAATCAGGCTCAGGAAAGTGCATGTGAAGTATTAGTGTTGATAGTGACCTTTCTAAAACCTAATGGGAAAAAAAATATGATTTAAGAGGGATGAAGCCATTAAGCTGTGTAGAATTTACTTTTAAAAGCTTATAAAATGTATTTGAGAGCAAGAACGTTTAAGTTGATGCCAACTACAAAAGGCTGTAAGCAGATCAGCTGTCCAGGTGCCTGTGCAGATCTCTGCATAGACAGCAAGGTGCAGCCCACAAACTTTACTATCCCAATCATGCAAAGATTTAACCACAAGCTCTGTTGCACTCCTGAATACCAAGGTATTAAATCTATCAGCAAGGACAGTCTGCTGCTTTTAAACTGGGCTGGATAAATGTCATGGTTTTCCTTTCCAGTCTCTGAGACAGCATATAGCGCTGCTTACTCGGGCCCAAACCAAAGACCACCAAGGGCAGGTTGTCTTTTTCTTAAATTAGTAATCTTTGCACCAAGCCCTTGATTTTCCCTTCAAAACCTGACAGGCATGTACTCAATTTCATATGTGCATAATATGATTCCTTAAAAAAAAAAAAGGTCTTTTATGTCTAGAGACAAATTACCAGGTTTCTAAAAGGACGGGGTTACTTGATAGTCCCTACTTAAAATGAGACTCTGCATACCTGCTATGATTCAGTGTTTAGAAAACAAACAGATAGGGTTAGATCCAAACAAAGGATTCGTTTTAATAGTAAACATATTTAAGAGGGTGCCTGCCTAAATGTGAATTGTTTAGGGGATGGATTACCATTTTGCATACATTTTAGAGCTCTGAGAGAAGCCATTAAGGGATTAACACCTCCGATTTATGAAAATGCAAGGATGATAAAGAAACAATAGGGGTGACAGCATTGTGTAAACGACATTGATTCATTTCAGAACAGGGCTGTTAACTGCTGGAAATGAAGAAATAAATGGAACAATGGATAGATGCTTTTACCAGCTTGTCATTAATTAGCAGTGAGCACAATTCTTTTATTGTCCTTTTTGAAAAATACAAAATTGGTAGGAAAATACAAGCACTGAGCAAATAGATTACTCTGTGTCACTAGACTGACATCTGCATTTTCTTTCTTCTCTAATATATTTTGTTTTTCAAATGATATCGAACTTTTAGCCTGGCAGCAAGCCCAAATTTTACTTCCTTTGAAATTCCTAAAAGGATATGTTTTCATCCTTGAAACCTCCCTGCTTTATAAAGGCATAACAAAAGCCATGATTTGAGAAAGGGTTAATAAATGTTAGTGAATCCCCTGTAACACAGCTTGGAAGCACAAACAACAGTTCAATGCACTATTCTGCTGACCTATTGCATCCGATCAACTGTGGTTTTATTTCTAGCAATGCCAGCAGGTGGGAACTGACAACATGTTTCTTTGGAATCGTAAAGAAAGATCGTCTCTGATGGAGAATTAGCTGGAAGTAAGCGAGGTTGTTTGGCACGGATCTAAGCAGGGACAATGCTTGATTATGGCTATCACTCTCTAGCTGCTGTCAGAATGTTAAGTTTGCTTTCTTGAGGCCTGACATCCAACACATTTCTTTTTTTAATTAGTATCTGGTACTGTAAGATGCTGATATTTTACTGCATGTCAGATGTGCAGGGCTAAAATACATCACTGAACTCAGAGGCAGGTGTGGGTGCTAGGAATTAGTTTTTTACCTCTCATAGGGAATTCAAGGCATCTCTCTCCACTTTAAAAAAGCTATGTGGATAGAGAAGTTAGTGTGGATAAACCTTCAATGCTGTTGCCCGAGAAAGGATGCAGAGTGAAGCTGATAAATCAAACATCAGCAAGGCAAAATACCCTGAGCACTGCCTTCATTTTCATCAGCATATCCAGGCAATTTTCTGCTCCTGAATTCTTCCTCACCCTGGCAGCACAGGAACGTCCTTCCCAGCTGCAGGGGTACAGGGGTGTTTGCACCATGCTGAGGGAGCAGCAGCACTGCCCACAGGATTGAGGTGAACTAACTAAGGTCAGCATTGTCAAAGATTTGCCATTTTGCCACCTGTGTAATGACCTTGTAGGTAAGGAGGAGTCAGGGCTTTTACCTGTGGCAAGTGTTACACACAGCTTGGCAGGAGCCGTGGAGGGGCCAACGTGTGGATGCAGGTGTGACTGAAAAAAGTGGGACTGTAGCTACAAGTTCAGCCAGTGCTCAGCAGAAACCTGCTCCCACTTCTTTCCTGCAAAGCTCTGTGATGCTTGGCTGTATGTTTAAGTGTGTGTATGTGTATATAGCTTTGGGTTTTTTGGGGGGGAATGGGAAGATGTTAAGTTTTATTTTTCAGCATCCTGAGGTAAAGCTGCGGGTGGTTTTTCACCCAAGGTAAAGGCAGTAGCTTCTCACCTTAAATGCACATAATAGGTTTCATCAGAGACTGTAGGAGAGGGCCCTTCAGCCAGCAACAAGTAAGTGAGACGAATCTTTATTTTTTTGCATTAAAAAAAAAAAGAATTGGTATTCAGAAGAGGAGGGTTAATTTTTCTTACTAGAGTGATGCCATTTATTTGATGGTTCCTGGACAAGTCACAAAAAGTACTTAGGAAAAAGTTGCCAATTTAATTTTTATGTCTTGTTCAAAAGCTCCTTACAACTCTGTACTTTTAAGATTGAGCCTATGCAAATTTCAATGATTTTCTCCCAGAGAGAATAGGCATAATTATTTTGTGAAACTATCAACTTCAGTAGTATAGCTCCTGGTGTTCCAAGGGTGTTTGCTGTAATCTGGGGCACTTGCATTTTCCAAGTCAAACTGTTAATTACCCATCCTCATAAAAACAGGTTGCACCTTGCTCCAAGCCTTCAGCAGTTCTGGATCTCTGAGATATAGTTCAGACCTCTGAACTGTCTCCAAAGAGTCTGGAGAAAAAAACCCAAAAAACTAAACCAAACTTTTTTCAGCATCAGAGCTAAATGAGACCTATATTTGTGGCACATATCATTTACATATCTACAATTATTTTATTGATCTTCCTTTGTTTGCCAGGAAAGACCTCCCCTTTTGTACATGCATTCTAGCTAATCTATGTCTCCAAAAAGGTTTAAATTCTGCTATCAGGTTGACAAAGCAATGGGACATAAGGCTATAAAGCTGTAAAAAGATACGTTTAGCAAGGTTTCCTCCTACCTATAGCAGAGATTCTTCATCATATGTGAAAGTCATTGAGGCTCTGTGAGGGTTCCTAGAATTATCTGTACAGAAG